AAATCCGGGTCGCGCGCAAGGGCCTTCGCCGGCCACTGGTTTGGCCGAAGACCATTGCAGATCAGTGATTGCCGGGGGTATCTTTTGACTGCCTGCGTCAGATTTTTTTCCCGATAGAACCCCCCCTGAAGACCAGTTCTACCCCTGTAGGGGTCCGATCATTTGTTCCTGGACAAAATTATTGCATCCTCAGGAGTCTCCAACGCTCCAACTAAGATGTGCAGCATGCTCAGCGCAGCTGCCTAGGCTTTGAGCTACGCTCAGGAGAGATTCATCGCAACTAGTGGTTCGGCTCAACCTTTGGTTGCATCTTACGCCGTTGCCCAACACTCAAGTGATGACGACACCAGTTAAATCCTAGAAAGGTTCGGGGTCCATTGGCTTGTTCCATGTGCAACGCTTGATCTTTGGCTGCCGCATTGCTTCGTGGGTCACCGCACATGGTAATGGTGACTTACCTGAGTGGTTTCCAGCTTGCCAGGAAACTCTTGGCATGGCACCGGAAAGCCGACGGATGACTATGGCCTGAAGTGACCCAAGGGGTGCAAACCCAGAGAATCTCAAGGAATGAGAGAGGTACCTGGTTTGATATGTTTTCCTGAATTCAAGGACAATCCCATGTTTGGATGGGATTGCTTTTGGAGTCACATACAAATCCCTACACCTAAGAAGCCTTTGCCTGGTGAAGCTGTCAAACATTGCGCTTGTTCCCTTGGGAATTAGACCGTTTCAGCTTCCAATTTCACGCTACTTTGTCATTTCATGCCTTTGCTTGGGTTGATTCAAAATGAAGTCGATGAGAAGCCACCCATTCTGTTTCCCTGGTTTAATTACAACTCCATTTGTGCTTTGAGTCCAACTTTGTCCGGCTTGCAGGCAGCATCCTGAGCAATAGAGTGGGATGCCCTACACATTGCGAGCCATCTAGGCCAGGTTGATCTGCAGGTGATTCCTGGTTGCTAGTGTAAGACTTCGGATGTCAAAACCGGTTGGATTGAAGCGGGCGTTGGAAGGAAGTTCGCAGTTTCCGCACGTTCGAAGGGGCCCAGCTGGAGTGACATGCAACATGAAGCCACAGCACACCGAGGGCTCGTGTTCCAGCGAGGTTTTGGATTGACATTCAGCTCGGGCCACTTTGCGAGCAGATGATCCAGAATCCGCACGGGACCTCGCGCAAGGTACATTCCACACAAGGCACGCTTTGCTTTTGGGGGGGATCGGCAGCCATTGGTCCAGTTTGGAGGTGCAATTGGCTGACCCAGTTTAGCATTTCGGACATGCTTTAAAAATATCGGTTGGCATCAAACCTCAGAGATTGAAGCCTCCCTCATTCCCAACTGCGTAACGACATGGCTCATGCTGCAGGTGTTGATCGACTCCTCTGGCAAGATTGTAAAGAACTTTTCAGTGAACTTGCTGCCTGGCAGCATGGCCGGCTGGGTGAATGCCTGTTCCCAGAGCCCAGGAGCAACTTCAAACCTAAGGGCCCCAAGAGCATGAGAATGATTCTCCCTGTTCGAGCCCTTCTCGTGTGACTTGTATCCTGCAAGCGATGAGGACACCAAGCCAGTCAAGCTTCAATGGCAATGATTCAACATTTCCGGGGTGGGTGTACCATAGGAAAGTGACACACTCATTCCCAGACTGTGCCCTTTTACCTGGTGTCCAGGTACCTCAAAACCTCGCGTCACCTAGTCTTTCGGAAGTCTATAGTCCAAAGAAACAAAATCCGAGGCCCGGCGACTTGGATGAGTTGCTGAGAGGTAGCAAGAAGGACTCCTAGTGCCGCATCTCGGCATGTCGGATCTGCCCGCGCAAAAGCATCCATTCGCCCGGCGATCGGATGTAACAAAAGATTTGCGGCTTGACGTGCGCGGCAAACACGTGGAGTCCACGGTGTGGTGCAAGAAGCGCACCTGGTTAGTTGGATATGTTGTCGACAAATGTTCCAACCTGCCAGTCGTCCTTCCCCGACCTTGCAAATCGTGATTACCGAATTATGTGAGCTCATCCCATGTTGGAGATACAAATGCCACGGGCGCCTCCCTATTTTTTGCCTGGGCAGATGTTTCATTGAAGTTCTACCAACCCAAAGATGGATGTGTTGTTTTTCCCCACGAGAAACCACTTGCAAAGAATTCCTCCAGTAATTGCCGCTGTCCGCTCGTTGCGGGCTTTGCCATTTTGCCCATTGGTAGGGAAGTCCTGAGAGGCCGGAAACCCACCAGGTTGAGGGATCGCCTATGTTAATGACATCACGCCTCCGACACTGTCTTTGACCATTGTGTTTGTCAAATCTTGGTGTACCCACCCTTGTTTAGTTTTTGTTTTTTCTGACACTACGGTTTTACGTCTGTTGGTTGGTGATGTTCAAAGGGAGAACGTTGGCGGGTGCCTGGAGACCTAGCCCGAACCAAGAAAAGGTTCCCATGCTCTCCATGGGCTGGGAAGGGGACCAAAAGCCGCAGAATCCGTGTGGCAGTTTCCAGTGTTGGAAATGCGAACCCAAAGGTTTCAGGGGAATGGACCCTTATTAATTGCCAAGCGAAGCGACCTTTTGACATGAGTTTTGACAAGTTTGTCTCATCTTTCAAGGTGCCAAGAGGGTTTCCTTTTAGGTGCAGGGCTGGAATAGTTATGTCCGCCTGCTTTGGATGTGTCTCCAAGATGGCCAGGTCTACCTGTACCGCAGCGGCTTCTGCCGCTTCTGTGCCTGGGGCGCTCGGTGAAAGTCGTAGAGCGAGTGCCAGCACTCTGAAACAAACAACTGCACCACTTTTTCTTTATGTGTTCCCTCAGTCTTTCCTGGCTGGTGGTCTTCGCGTGATGTTTCCGCGGTCCGGTTGTTTGGCAATTCCGGATATCTTTCCAGAGTCTTTCGCTAGTCGTTCTGCAGTCTTTTTTGTGTTCTTGTACTGTAGTCTTACATGTCTTGCCACGGCGTTCTCGTAGTCCTGCATGCTCCCACAATCTTCCCAAAATCTTGCCACGGTCATCGCGTAGCCTTCCCACATTATATGTCCATTGTACGTCCTTTTTGGAAACTTTCCGTCTGAAGCCCGTGCTGTCTGATAAGGAGCCGAAATCGATAGCAATAAGCAGGCAGCAGCATGTTGCCACGAAACTGAGACATACCAGGAGAACAGTCTGGTTTTTGTCGTTGGTTTACGGCCAACCGATGGCTTTGGGGCCGATCATTCCTATATGGAGCATGTGTCATGATTGCTTATGTTTTGACTATATGCTATCAGTTTGGCAACTGTCGGGATCCTCCCTGTGCCCACAACAACTGGCAACCAACATCCATTTTTGTCCCTTCCGCATGTGATTCGCATGAATGGGTGCGCAGTGTATCTTGGGTCCCACGGCCACTTCACAAGACGCTACTGCTTGTTGTTTCTTGCCCCGCCGCGCGAGCAAAAGCCCGAGGTGGAGCAATACAGCACGGATGTGGCGGAAATCGACAACATCTTCGTGCCGCTCGGCAGGACCTCGGTCGCTGGGTGGGGGGGTTGGCGCTTGGGTTTGTTCGGCTCTCGAGGCACCTGACCAATGTGGCCATCCAGAAGCAGGCTGAGGAGGGGCACGGCATTTGAAGGGAAAAGGGAAGGCCGATGTTTTTTTTTTCGCGGAAGCCCATGTTGGCTTGTAGTGAAGGGAGAGGCAAGGGAAACTTCTTTATGCGGGGCAGGTCCTCTAAATGTGGACTTTAAATTTGGGACAGGCCCAAGTGCACAGCCTTGACTTGACAGCTTCTTGTAACATTCCCTCGTTGCACACTGTCAGCCAAACCAAGGCTGATTTTACATCCTTGTTTGCAGGACGTCGTACTTTTGGTAGACCATTTTAGTGGCACGGTGAAGTACAAGGCCCGTTTGCAGTTCACCAGACTGGGATCATGAACAAACATGGCAAGCTGGCCGTAGGCACTGTCTTGATCACTGCCCAAAATGTCGGTATGTTTGTCAAAAGTAGGTATCTCCTTTGAAACGAGACCAACATTGGGCACACCATTCTGAAGGGTCCCTAGGTTGACGCATGATATCTAATATTGGGGTTGTCGTTTTGTGAGGGAACTCCCAACACGGATGGGTGCCTTCTGCTTTTCTTTGAAACAACCTGATAAAGGGCACTCCCAACTAAACAACGCACCAATAGGACTACAATGAGCAGCACGGAGGCAAGTGGGTCTTGATCTCAGCTCGCAGCGCGGAGATGGCTGGTGCACAAGGCAAATCAGGGGTCGCGACCTCATGAAGTTTCCTTTCATGGGGGTCCTTATGTTGAGTTCACCCACACGTGATAGCGAGCATACCTGAGAAGGAAGGGCTCTTCTTAGACGGGGCCTTTGCTGACTGTGTATCAGAACCAGGCAATGGTTCAATCGGCATGGTTTGCTGAAGATCTCCCTAGGAATTATTCCCCAGTCTTGACACATACGGGTGTCGTGCATCCCTCTTTGCCAGCTGGGATGCTTTTCGTGGTGCAAGGCCATCAGCGACCTGATGCTTTTCATTGAGAGCACCCGCGGGAGAGCTGCGAGTGTCTTGGCAGCGTGTCAGCACGCTTGGGACCCCCAAGACAAAGGTTGTGCTGAAGAATTCTGCTTGGCTGTTGTGACTGCAAGGGGCAATCTTTAACGCGTCCGTTGAGTTAAGTCAAGAGTCCCCTTTGTGGTGCCCAGTCGAATTGGGGCCAAACGGGCGAGCTCAACTGCCTTGGATATCTTCCAGAAAGGGAAGAATAACCCAACTCATGACAGCACACTTTCCATTCCAGGTCCATCAGGTGGGTTTTAGGCTGTATTGTTTTGTTTCCCCCCAAGAAAAGAAGAAGCTGCAACACACAACCTATATACACAACTTAGAACCCCCCGCCCCCCCTTTCCGGGATCAGCGGCCAACACCCCGAGTGGCGTTCCGGGCTTGACCCCACAAGCGAGAGGTGACAAGCTGGCGATGGACATGGAGCAGGTCATTGCAACTCGAGCCTGCTTTCGAGGAAGAAGAGTGACGCTGCCCAAATGCAGAGCAATGAATGGCCCTGCCAATCTAATTGCGCCAGTGCTATGGAGGAGACCCGGGCTCGATTCTCGGCTGGCGTATTTTTGCTGAGATCAAAGCGAAATGGTTCAAAATGTGGAGGGAAGGAGTTCTCTTTCCCTAGCGGCGCAAAGAGCGTCACAGTGTAGATTGCGGACAGGCCTTGGACAAATGCCCTGCCCAGGGTGTTTAAGCGCGGACAAGGCAGAGACATTGGCTGGGCTATCCATCACTCCAGTGGATGACGAAATTAGCGGGTGCAAGATGTTGTGTTTGTCTAGAATAGATAAGATGGGGGATACTTTGCAGGTGTCAGTTGAGGACACATTTGGGGGCTAATTGTTTAAGCAATCGTCCAGGGGGTGGTTTCTTTTGCCTGCCGAAAGTGGCAACAGGTACATCAGAAAGCAACCCCAAACCGAAGCCTTTGGCTGCGGACGTTGAAGCAAAGAGATGTGGAATTGACCCCATGGTGAAAGGCAACCAAGGTCACCGCGCATGTTATTTCCAGCGCGTTGTGACAGTTGGGCCGTAGCGATTTGAGTCCAAGGTACATTCCCTCAAGGCGGGGGAGGGAGGGGGGGATCCCGGTTTGAGCTCGTTGGAGTGCAAGTTGAGCAGCCAAGGCACTGGTTTGGATGTGCAAACTGAGCCCTGGCCAGTTTAGTAAGCAGGATTCATAGAGATTAGAATGAGTTCTTGCTTGCCGTGGGGTGTTCGGTTTGGGAGACTATTAGGTTTTGGCTACTGACATCCTGATCCATGTTGTGTTTGGAACTCTCAAATCCTGTGCCCCACCAGAAATGGAAACTGGAGGATTTATGCATGTTGAATTCTGGAGAAAAGTCCTCAAAGCACAATCTGTTCAGTCCTCGTGAAGCAACGCAAACTGATAGCAGTCACCATTACACACCATGACCGGGGGGTTGGGACCACTTTTGTCAATCGATATCCATCCACGTAAAGTCAGTGTGCAGCTCAGCAGGCGGGCAATATTACATCTCACAACATCATATACTGGTACCTCCGCGTCCTAGAGAATAGGTTTGTTTTCCCCTTTTGATCTTGGTTTTAAAGGGAATCTATCACTACTGGACATATTTTCATTTTTTCCAGGGGCTTAAGCAACGGAAGTATACCCTTGCGTATATGAATCATAACATGACACAAACCTGAAAATTTGTCGCATGGTACAGTTCTTGTTTCGCTTGCAGGCTGTTCGACGATTCGGGACTTTCTGCAACACAGGTGGTCAATGCATACGTAATATTGCTGCTGCCCCACGAGATCCTTGAGAATGATATATTTGGTGTCCAAAAGATATATTATTCGGCACACTCGCACATCGTATGGAAGTCCGGCCTTAATCTTTCACTAGATGGCAATTGTCGTTGCTGTTTGAAGCCAGCACTCTTGTCGAACCCGACGCATGAGTCGAGCTTATACGGGCTGCCATTTGCCCCATGTGTGGTGAACCCATGGTCTTGCCAGGCCGTTCAGAATGTCATTGTCAATGACAAGCACTGCTTCGAGATGTACGGCCCGCCGGCTAAGATGATCACTTGCGCTAGTTTGCTGTGTGTCAAATATGTCTAAGCGAGCTGGGGAATGGCTGCTATGTGCTTTGCATGTGTTGAGTCGCTCTAAGGCTTTGACGTCCTCATCGACAAGGACCTCAGGCGCCGGGCTGGCTTGTGATTTGCCAAGTGCCAATACCAGCTGAGTTCCAAGTGCCTGCTGCTGGAAGAATGGGTGCTTAAGGTGCCAGCTGCATTGATGTCCCTAGAGGGGCACCATGAAAAGATGAGTTTCCTGGTCGACAGACAGGTTTACAGAGTGCCCATAGATCGTGGTCGAACATGCTTCTCACCAGGGTCTCGGGATTGTGGAGGCATGCAAAGACGGATCGCTGAGAGAGCTTTTTCCCGAAAGCATGGCGAAGGGTTCTTCCGCTGGGTTCACTTGAGTTGTTCTCATGAGAGTCATTACAAGGTGTCATTGCAAGGAATCATCATCATGAAAGTCAATGCAAGGAGTCATTGCAAGGAATCATCATCATGAAAGTCAATGCAAGGAGCCATTGCAAGGAGTCATTGCAAGGAGTCATTGCAAGGAGTCATTGCAAGGAGTCATTGCAAGGAGCCATTGCAAGGAGTCATTGCAAGGAGCCATTGCAAGGAGTCATTGCAAGGAGTCATTGCAAGGAGTCATTGCAAGGAGTCATTGCAAGGAGTCATTGCAAGGAGTCATTGCAAGGAGTCATTGCAAGGAGTCATTGCAAGGAGTCATTGCAAGGAGTCATTGCAAGGAGTCATTGCAAGGAGTCATTGCAAGGAGTCATTGCAAGGAGTCATTGCAAGGAGTCATTGCAAGGAGTCATTGCAAGGAGTCATTGCAAGGAGTCATTGCAAGGAGTCATTGCAAGGAGTCATTGCAAGGAGTCATTGCAAGGAGTCATTGCAAGGAGTCATTGCAAGGAAGGAGTCATTGCAAGGAGTCATTGCAAGGAGTCATTGCAAGGAGTCATTGCAAGGAGTCATGAAGTCATTGCGAGCTGCAAGGAGCCAAGCGCATGGAGTCAAGTGCAAGTTGCAAGTGCAAGCAGCCAAGTGCAAGTTGCAAGTGCAAGGAGTGCAAGTGCAAGTGCAAGTTGCAAGTGCATGGAGTCAAGTGCAAGTTGCAAGTGCAAGGAGTCAAGTGCAAGTCGCAAGGAGCCAAGTGCAATTGACTTGCGAGGAGTTAAAATCTCTTCTTAGGGCCGCGGGGTAGTGCCGACGACACTACACGAAAATCGACCCTCTGCGGGGATCGGCGTGTTCGAGGTGCAAAAACTCGAGTTTTTTTTTGCGGTTTCTGCGGCGCTCGCGCGACCCTCTGCGGGGATCGGCGTGGTCGAGGTGCAAAAACTCGAGGTGTTGTTGCGATTTCTGCGGTGCTCGCGCGACCTTCTGCGGGGATCGGCGTGGTCGAGGTGCAAAAACTCGAGGTTTTGTGCGATTTCTGCGGTGCTCGCGCGACCCTCTGCGGGGATCGGCGTGGTCGAGGTGCAAAATCTCGAGGTTTTTTTGCGATTTCTAAAGTTCCCGCGCGACCCTCTGCGGGGATCGGCGTGGTCGAGGTGCAAAAACTCGAGGTTTTTTGCGATTTCTGCGGTGCTCGCGCGACCCTCTGCGGGGATCGGCGTGGTCGAGGTGCAAAAACTCGAGGTTTTTTGCGACTTTTGTTGTTCGAACTGGTCCTCGGGAGTTGTCTCGTGGTTCGCGCGCCTGCTCCCGGAACCGGCGGGTCGCGGGTTCGATTCCTCCCTGGTCCGCGGGCGGGCGTCGCAAGATGCAACTTGCATTTTAAAGCAACTTGCGCAGAGCAACTTGCGCAGAGCAAGTTGCACAGAGCAACTTGCGCAGACCAACTTGCACCGACCAGTTTGCGCAGAGCGCCTTGCCTAGAGCAACTTGCGCAGAGCAACTTACGCAGAGCAACTTGCACAGAGCAACTTGCACAGAGCAGCTTGCACAGAGCAACTTGCAGGGAGCGCAATTTGCACAGAGCAACTTGCAGGGACCAACTTGCCGGAGCAACTTGCGCGGAGCAACTTGCGCAGAGCAACTTGCACAGACCAACTTGCACCGACCAGTTTGCGCAGAGCACCTTGCCTGGTGCTGTCTCGCGCTTGCTTCACAAATGCTTCGTGGAGGGAAAAAGAACGCATCCTGCAGCGTTGGGCCGACCTCGCTTGCGATGTTATGCTTTCGGGCCAACCGTGGTCTAGTTTCAGCGGAATCGATATGTTCGGGCTGCATTCTCCACAGCCCTCCTTCTCCAGCTCCGAAGACGTCCATGACTTGATACATCAAGGTACATTCTGAGCTCAAAATGCAAAGGCTTTTCTGGTGTGACACAAAGGAGGCTCCCAAAAGGACGACGGCCACCAGGAGTTGTGAGTTTTGAGCCCGGAAGCCGGTGTAGCAGAGGCCCTGGCTCCTGGAGGTGAATGCCTCGCAGGGGGCCCAAGACGCAGACCGGCGGGTACTAGAAACACGATGAAGCGCTCCTGCATGCAGCAAATCAGGCTATGACAAGCTGCGTTGCTGCATGGAATATTCCGAATCGACCGATTTTTCGGAGAGTTGTGGCACTTGGGTCAGGACCCAAACAGGACCACCGTTTGGGTATCCCCGTCATTCGGCGCCGAGACCCCCACATAGTCTATATTTCCGTCCGTCTCATGTGTGTGTCTGTATTCCCCGCAATGGTTGGCGTTTGGTTTTCCCCACTGCTTTCCCAGTTTTGCACAGCCCGTTGAGAGACGTGAGGTGTCAACCATTTGCTGTTCCGCGGGGGAGCCGGCACGAACCTTGCCAGGCCGTCATTGACCACGACAACTGAGGACAGGTAGAAAATTCGCTGGACCCACCTAAGGCCTTCTGAGCTTCAAGGACTCCCTTCAGTTTGCCAAAAAGGGTAAAAGGCAAATTCCGATGACTCGCACATATTCTATAGTTTTCAATTTAAAGGCAATCCCCGACACCCCAATTGCGAATAGAGCAACAGGACATGTTCGAAATCGAGTCTGGACGTGTCCACAATGGCCACGGATCTTTTGAAGCCCCTGACTGCAATCGTGGACAAGCGCAACACCTTGAATCAGCTGTTTAATTGACTACGTAGCAACGCATCCTGTCCAGCGAACTATGGCAAATATTGCATGGGCCGAAATGCAATTTTGAACAGTTGCTCATGTGGCTTTCAACAAGTGAGTCAGGGCCTATGATATTCACTATTATGTCTTAGTGCAAAGGCCTCACCATTTGGTGTTGTGCCTCGTGGGGATATTTCTTCATGAACATTTTTCATGTGAGAAGCAATGACGTTTCGCACTGTCTTATATCTATTCCAGTTTTTTTGCTAGCATGTGTACTCTGACTCAACAAATGATCCGATCCCTTAAAGGGTTTTCTCAAGAGCCAGCAGCGGGGAATGTTTCTCATCAGGCAGCCTGCTGCATACTGGCGCCGCATGTTTGTCTCAAAGCCCTGCCCTGCCAGCCCTTCAACCAGAGTGGTTTTATAAATATGTTGGCGTTCTTGCCACGAGGGGTTCCTGATCCGTTGATTCCTGGTACTTCTGGCGAATGATTCGCTGCATGTTGCAAAAAGACGACCCCCTTCCCCTGGATGTTTCTGTTGAAAGGGGACCAGCATGAAACGATCCTCTACGACATGTTTAATTCTACCAGCATGCTGCATGGCTGGTATTATTTGCTCGGTGTTGCTCGAAATGGGTCGGGACCCTGACACTGGACGCCGGTTTCATTTGTTTTCCCTCACCCAAGAACCCTTCCACCAGATGCAGGACGACCGCCTTTTGAAGCCGCCAGCTCAGCTCTTTGCGACACCTTCGCCGGGCGACTGTTTGGCTTTCTATGTGGGTGGCTGTGGACAGACATTTGTCAATCAACCGCAGGACCTTTTGCAAGTTGTGTTCCCTTTCCAGCCATCACACAACTTTGCCCTCGTTGCGCATCCCGCTTCGAGGGTTCCATGTAGACCCATCTTCAAATACAGGGCAAACCACAACCAAGGTAAAATTGCATACATAACCACCAACGTTTGTTTGAGGGCTGCACCCCTCCTGCCGAAGTGGCTGGAAAGCTCGTTTTGGTGACCCACGCACCGCTTCTCAGTGCTGTTTCGTTTGTTGGCGCGGACAATCGCAGGTGCCAGGTTGTGTTTCCTAGAGGTGTGTTTGTTTTGTGAGCTGCTTGTTGGTTGGTTGGTTGGTTGGTTGGTTGGTTGGTTGGTTGGTTGGTTGGTTGGTTGGTTGGTTGGTTGGTTGGTTGGTTGGTTGGTTGGTTGGTTGGTTGGTTGGTTGGTCGGTCGGTCGGTCGGTCGGTTGGTTGGTTGGTTGGTAATTGCTAGATTGTTCAGGGGTGTGGGTTGGTTGATCGGCACGGGTACAGTAGGGGAGGGCTGGAGACATCTCAAGAGTCACGAACATCATGTATTGGGCCAGCGCTCATTTGGCACAGTGGACACGTCGCATTCGCTCAAAAATGGATTCGGGCTTGAGCATTACGTAGATTGCTGCAGGGTTTTGGTTGAGCAAGTGTTTGTTGGTTTGGGATCGAGGTGCAACAGGCTCTTTTGAACGTGTTGCAACAAATCATGCATGATGGGAATTGTTTTTTTGTTTTTTGGCATGTTTGCTCGTCTGCTCGTTTGTTTTGTTTGGTTGTTTGTTTGTAAGTTTTGGTTGCAAGCGCTCGCTTGCTCGCTTGCTTGTTTCTTGGTTCCTACGCTTGCTTGCAGTGCAGCGCTTGCTTGTGAGTTTGCTCCTCAGCGGAGGCTGCGGCTCATCAACGACGTGCTGACCATCGCGCGGGCCCCGGGACATGGATGTTCAAGTGCTCTTTGTTTTTGAGGACAGACAAGTTGGCCCAAGAAGTGATACTTCTAAGTTCCCCAAAGGAAGCCACAAGCGGAAGGAGTAGTTTCACCATTTTGGCACCCAGTTTTTGGATGGACGCCCGCACTTTGGCAGTATATGCCGGTCGGTGGGTCGGGCAGAATCTGATCGGGACCAACAAAGCGACAGCTGGAGGTGCTTTCCCCAGAGCGAGATGTGGGTCCCTCCCGGGCCCATCTGTGGGTCGTACAGAAGTGGAGGTGACCCAAGCAAGAAAGCAAGCAGTGAAGCAGTAAAAGATGGAGGTTGCCCCCCCCCCCTAGGGCCAAGAGATGGAAGATGGTTTGAAGGTTTGTGAACTTGCTCCTTGACTTCATGCACCCGCTGGCAGTGGATGATGGAATTGTAGCTTTATCACTCAATTCGTGGACGGGGGACATGGTTCAAAGCAGATTAGGAAACATTTGGGAAAGGTTCTGAGAATGACCCGTTCCTTTTTCAAGCAGTAAACCGCCCATTTGTTGGGGAGGGAATTGTTGAAAACATCTGATGCGTTGCAGCAGGGTTACTAACGACTTGGCAAGTAACTACAAGAATCCCGGGAGTGGAAATGGGGCGCATTTATTCGCCAGTTGGTGTTGCTTTCCTCCAGGGACCCTCTATAGTGAGCCACCCTGTCCACTGTACACATTGATCCCGTAAACGACCAGTTGTTGAATGCCTTTGAGCATACTTTGTGCTTTCTCTTTGTGGAATGCAACCTTCTCGGTCTCTCAGCAGCAATTCCTGTTGTCTTGATTAATTCAGGGGCGATGCACTCGAACATTTGAGAATGTGCCAAGTGTCATGGGAATTGTTCTGGGGAGTCCTTGGTTTCACTAAAAAGAGTGGTGAAAAGTCAAACCCTCTCGGGTGTAGCATTGCAACCGAAAGAACTGGGCTTGTCACAGAGAGAACTCTTGGACAGCATGGCTAAACACATGTCTTTCCCCGCATGCAAAGCTGTGCACGCGCGCGTGATGTGTCTTCCATTCATTTGTTTCAGGTCCCCTTGTTGCTTATCATGAGTCACCCAGAAGTGGTCCAGGAAACTGCGGGAACCTCGAACAGGTGTCCTCGTAGCTTCTGCAAACTTTGGGAAGTGTCTTTGACCTGATCGGGATGTAGGAATCCGTGAGGTTTGGGCTAGCGAAAGTGTTGGGGAAGACGACTGGAAGCCCGGATGAAGCGAACTTCAGCCCCACCTTTGCGCCTCGTTGGTGAGGCAATGCAGGAGAAGAAAGGACTCCTCGATGGCGCGTCGGGCCTGGGTGTTTGGGGGTTTGGGCCATTGAAAAGCTGACCCGGCCGAACCCCAAACTCATGGCTTCGGGCAAGTGTCAACCCACATGAAAACACTTTTTTGGGGGAACCCAGTCTTTGTTGTTCGGGGGGAGTTATTCTAGTTCGGTGGGATGGTTTTCGTTTGTCAGCTCAAGTCGCTTGAGGCGACTTGCCAACGCTTCAGCTCGCTCGCCATTGCCCAACTTGGAATCCGGACAGCCGACGCGGATTTGTTTGGCTCAGTGTGTCTCACAATCAGGAATTCCCGCCTGGTGGTGTCACAACAAGCCACTTGTTTTCTTTTTTTAAACGGCTGTTTGAATGTTCTTTGGTTTTTGCTTTTTTATGTGGCAACCTTGGTGGGCGGTGTTTGGTGTGGAGGTGTTTTGTGTCAACTTTCGGCCGCTCGCTCTTAGCAAAGGTGGGAGGTGCGCAAGGTTCTGATCATAGCATAATTTTCTGCGGGAGTTGTTTTTGGCAGTTATGGAGCCGTCGAAGTCAAGAGTGAAGGATGCTCTCTGGACAGTTAATAGAATTTGGTCAAGTTGTAGCAACCTCGCAATAACAGGTTTGCAACTTTACCCATGACGGTTTGCTTTGCCTAGGGCTCAATGATCAGGTTAGCGAATTGCCACAATCAGCTCAGAGCAACGGAACGTGTTTGACACCTTGCTAAGAGTCAGCACATCATTTCTTTTTGGGAGCTCCTGTTATTGCGTCGGCAGGCGACGAGGATGCTGCACTTGGAGACTTTGCCCGGGGCCTCTTTAAGCCTGAACCCTTCTTTGAAAGGACTGCTGAAAGAAAGGATGTTTAGGCAATCGGCAAGCTCGTTTGGTCTAAATTTGGCACAGGGGCCTGTTCAACATGTCAGGTTCCTGTTCGTTTTGCTGAAGCGACTTTCCATAGTTCCTGTTCCAAAGATCTGAGCTTGGTCTTGTGAGAAAATGCACACTTGATTCACACCTTATTTTTAGTGCAAAGCACTTTGTATCACTTTGTGATTTGGGGTACAACCCTGAAATCGGTGGGTAAAACATGTTGATTATTTGGGCAGAGGCCTGCATCTACGATGAGAAGCACCAGGAGAAACGCACCACGCGTGCGGAGCTCAAACCCCGATCTCAAGCTGAGTATTTCTGAGGAGCGTGCTTCAAATGTTTGTGTCAAGCACCCCTCTTGGGTTGCTATGGTATGATAGTATGGTTACACTTCTTCTTTTGACCTGGGGAATGACGCAACTAACTGCCCAGCACATGCCAGCACTGTTTTGGCGGATCGACCAACCCAGGCTCGTGGCTTAGGGCTCGCGACTGGCTCGTCCATTTTCGGCTGGACAGGCAGAGGCCGTGTCAACAAACATGGACGGACGGCGATGCTTGCCTTACCCAAGTCTTACGCGAACTTACGCGTTGTTGAGCTCATGCTGAATTATTCTCCATCGGACTGAGGAACCGTGATTTCGTGCTTTCCATGATCTAAAGTTTCCAGCCATGGCATGCGAAGCCGATGAGGAGGAGTCTTCCAACGAGGCGGGTTTGGCCGTTAGCCGACTGCTTGAAGCCGAGGATCCGATCAGAGTACCGGGTGCAGTGAATATTGGTCAACCCGCAAGGAGCTGTTGACCATGCCATTTTTTTCTCGGGGGGTTCAAGACATAAACACACACACACACACACACACACACACACACACGCACGCACGCACGCACGCACGCACGCACGCACGCACGCACGCACGCACGCACGCACGCACGCACGCACGCACGCACGCACGCACGCACGCACGCACGCCACGCACGCACGCACGCACGCACGCACGCACGCACGCACGCACGCACGCACGCACGCACGCACGCACGCACGCACGCACGCACGCACGCACGCACGCACGCACGCACGCACGCACGCACGCACGCACGCACGCACGCACGCACGCACGCACGCACGCACGCACGCACGCACGCACGCACGCACGCACGCACGCACGCACGCACGCACGCACGCACGCACGCACGCACGCACGCACGCACGCACGCACGCACGCACGCACGCACGCACGCACGCACGCACGCACGCACGCACGCACGCACGCACGCACGCACGCACGCACGCACGCACGCACGCACGCACGCACGCACGCACGCACGCACACGCACGCACGCACGCACGCACGCACGCACGCACGCACGCACGCACGCACGCACGCACGCACGCACGCACGCACGCACGCACGCACGCACGCACGCACGCACGCACGCACGCACGCACGCACGCACGCACGCACGCACGCACGCACGCACGCACGCACGCACGCACGCACGCACGCACGCACGCACGCACGCACGCACGCACGCACGCACGCACGCACGCACGCACGCACGCACGCACGCACGCACGCACGCACGCACGCACGCACGCACGCACGCACGCACGCACGCACGCACGCACGCACGCACGCACGCACGCACGCACGCACGCACGCACGCGCGCGCGCACACACACACACACACACCAACCACAGTCAGCAAAAACATTGGCTATGTTGAAGTTGAGGGGATGCTTGATCTCGTATGTAAAATTGCATGTGTATGCATGCAGTACGTTGCGCTTACAAATGGCAGAGTCCACAGTCTGAGCGATGTCAGGATGAGGCCAGCTGGCTTGGAAGGCGAGCCGAGTCGACGATTCGCGTCCGATTCATCGGGCTTCCAAGTATTGGCCGCGCTGCGCCAACTGCATCATCCTCCATTGTGACGAAAATTGTCCAATCCTGCGTTGATGGGCAAACACACATCTCCTTTTTGTTAGGAGTACTGAACCCCGGGCAGTAGCTTTTCGCATACCGTAGCTATAGGTATCACTAGGAACACGTAGCATCCAGGTCTCGGCACAGTTACACTTCAATGTTTGGGGGGTCGGCAAAAGCGGAGCTGCTCTAAAGGTCAGCGGTAGGATGTATCAAGCGGGCGCTGCTCATTGTGCCACGTCTACAGCACCTGTTGGCTTCTTGGCCAGGCATCGCGATTGTCATTGGGTCACAATTATCACCTTTTCCTCGGGGAATTCGGACCTCCCATTGCGCCGCCTCTGAATTGTCGCGTTCATTTTCTTCCGGCCCTTCAGACGGCCATGAGATCTGGCTGGGGCCTTGGGGCACAGGCTTTTCTGGTTCCAGGACTGGGATGCCCACATCGAGGTGTGCGCCCGGTGTGCGCTCTCGTGTCCAGTGCGCAGCCCAGTGCCAGTTCCAAAAGGCGCGCTGCGCCCCCCCCCGCTTGTTGTTTCATGACAAACCCTTCAGCCTAAGGAATGTCCTCAGAATCCCTATAGAATTCAATAGACACCTATAAACCAATGCATGGGGGAGGGGTTATTCTGGTTCTATCTGTGCTTATGAACAGAATTCAGGAATCTCGGAGGGTGCTGGCCGGAACCAACTTGGATCCCCATGTTTGAGGCTTGAGGATTTAAGATGGTCCAAGTACCTGATGTGCTTATGGGCGCAAGGGAGCAAAGGACATCCTCGCCAGGTGCTTGGACCCTCAGGGCATTTGAAGGCTAGACAGTGCTTGCCGTGTCGCAGATACCTCGGGCCAAGGTGGCAAAGGTCCTGCAGAGCGATGCCCTGTGTGGTGACATGGCTGAAAGAAAAGTGGGCAAAGTAGGACCGCTTTACAAAATGAGGTCTGGTAGAATTTCCCATGGAGTGGTTTGGGGATCCCAACCAAACCTCATGTGGGGCGGCTGAACTTCCATCCCTTGTATGTGTTGAGTACCCTCCATGAATGGCTTTGAAGAGACCTGAAATGGATCCAGCTCCGAATTCCATGGCTGCCTTTTTCTTCAAGCCAGTGGCATTGGCATGGGCAAAGGCTCACCATTTGGCCAGGCCAATTCAGAGCGAGCATGGGGCAAGCAGCGCTGGAAGACCTCATGAAATGAGCTTGACGCCAGTCAGCCCAGGTTGTCTCGGTGCTTATAGTGAGCATCTGTGTGGCGAGCGGCATGCTGCCCGAGCGACTTGGCTTAGTAGGCAGAGCTTTGTCCAGTCACTTGGTATTGATCTGAAGGAGGTGTGTAGCATGTAAGCCACAGTCAACATTCAGAGTTCTGTGAGCAGCGGAACGGCGAAGGGTATACGCCCGCCAAATTTGCGCAGTGAATGGGAGCCGATGAATGGGAACCTCGGATTCGGCAAAGTTCTTGGTTGATTGGTGCGGGGGATGATGCAACACATTTGGGGAATCCTTTACTTTGGGTGTTGGGTGACGCACCCCCTACTCATCCACATAGTTCGTCAATTGGGGTCCAGCATCATTGCTGGGATTAACCCAACGTGTTTTTTTTTTTAATGGGGGAAGCAACTAAAGTTAAGTGGGTCGGGCAAGCTTCAGGATGTGTGTTGCGCCGCGGGTTGAGCGAGCTATTCCTTCATGACTGCGAAGATCGACCGACTTAACTCGGAGAATGGATAGTGAGTCAGGGCAAACCCGTGCCTGGTGTGGGGGACTAATCGACCATGACGCAAAGAGATGACGGGTTTTTGGCATTGCCTATTCTTCACAGCGTGATGGTTGGCAGTTGTGAAGGATGTTGGGCATTTGTTTACATGGCAAACATAGAAGAGTGAATCCACGAGCTTGCCTTTGATGCAGGTTGGTTTTCTTGCAAGTCCTGAAGTTGAACAGCACGCCTTCTTGAGAGTCCTCAAGTTCCATGTTTTGTGATAAGTCATTCATTTCTGCAAGTTTTTGTATTTCTTCTTTTTTTTTAAAGAAGTGAGCGCAGATTTGCGCTGTTTGCTTGGTGTTCTAGGCCATTAGCGTTAGCCAGTTTCAAGAACGCGCCTGAAATGCCATGTTCAAAAGCAGTCAGGTAAATTCCCCTCAAGCGGCTGAATTGTCATTCGAAATGGAATCTACAAGTCGGAGGATTCAAAGTTTAGTAACTTAGGGTGTCCCAGATTTCAACACCAGCAACAGTAACTGCAAGGTACTGTGAGTGTTTAGATGCCTTCCCCCCTCCATCGTTTGAGAAGCCTGGATGACAGCTCAGAGGAGGGTGTTTTGGATTGATGAATTTGAACCGCTGTAATGTTGTTGGAACGAACTTGGACGCTAGCGCCCTACAGCTATTGGGGGAAAGGTGTGTATCTTGTGCGTGTGTGTTTAGCATGATCAACTTGCACTTATAGGAAATACAGACCTCTCATTGAAAAAGTTGAAAGTGCATTGCTTTAACTCAGCTTTGGCCTAGTCAGTGACCCAGGCAATGAAGCATAGGTCCTGAAAGATGCGGGACATTGCCTTTTGCAGAGTATGCGCAAAGTAGGGGCGGTCTGAGAAGGCTGCTACACCGCAGTCGGTGCTCTCACCTTACTTTGACAGTTTGTCACAACTTCCATGGGACACGTTATGGAGAGTGCCTTATGCCAGAAGCAGTGTTCGCGGTTGGCAAATTGTGGATTTTGGTGAGTGACTGAGCTATGCTTTGTCTCTCTCTCTCTCTCACACAGGAAGAGTTCAGTCCGCACAGTATACTACGTGCTGAGGCTGATCAAGCTTAAGTCCGGTGTGCGTAGATTGAGCTGAACGCCAACATGTCACCCCCGAATTTCAGGACACGGGACTGCTCAGCTTTTGAAATCCGAGCTGAGGAGGTGTCAACGAATCTGGCACAGCATATATTTGTGGTCAACCCGCCTCTTGGCAAGCACCGGGTGTTGGTTTCCATCGAGGTAACGTACCGCCTTGAAATCTAGCAAGCACAACTAGGTTCCAGGAGAAAATGGGAATGTCATGAACCTTGATGTAGCTAGATGACGATCTCTCTCTCTCTCTCTCTCTCTATAAGTATGTATTATGTATATGGATAATTATACATATATATATATATATATATATTGTAATTGCCGTGGAGTACTCAGATTGTTGGCTTCGAATCGCATTTTGTGCTGCAAGCATGCAGGCAACATGCACTTGTGTCCTTGTAAACATGATGCTGCAAAAACGCACTCTTGTTGGAGACATATCATTGCTCCATACTCAGGCAACCGAGGATAAGTATAGATTTGAATATGTTCAGAAAAAAAGTGGTCTGA